CCCGGCCGCACCCCGCCCCGCGCCGGCCTCCGGGGCCGGTCCTCGGTCGCGCGTCCCCGGGCCGCCCGCAGGGGGCGCGCTCCCCGCCGGGTGGGGCCAGGCTTCTCACCTCCGAGCCGCTAGCTGGGGCGGCCTGGAACCGTCCTGGGCTCGGCTCAGAGCCGGGCCGCTACGGCGCGGCCGACGGGGGGCAGCCACCTCCGTCCTAATTGTAGCGCCAGCTTCCCCTGCCCTCCTTCCCCCGGCCGCTTTCCTCAGCCGCTCTGGAGACTCCGCGCACGCGCACTCCCGGCGGCGCGCTCCGGGCTTCCGGACTCTGAGGAGGGGTGGAGCCCCGCTAACTGGATCGCCCACCGGAAGTAGAAAGGAGGAGCCTAGTGCCGCGGGCGCCTCGGTGCCGGAAGTTGTGTGCTCGGTGGCTGAAGTTCTTCCTTGGGCTGACTGGTGGCTATGGTGCGGATCTAGAGAGGCTCTGGCGACCCGCTCCTCAGACTTTCGAGATGTCTGCCATTCCCGCCGAAGAGAGTGACCAGCTGCTGATCCGGCCCCTGTAAGGGAACAGCGCGAGGGGACGGAGCCACGGGCTCTGTGGACGCGCCGAGCGCTCCCGGGAGCGCTGGGCCTCCTCGGGAGCCTCACGCCGACACGCCTCACCGTCCCGCCTTTGAGCCGCACTTACGGCCCGTCGGGCCCAAGGGCTTTGGGAAATGAGTGGTTAGAAGGGGCCTGTTAAGAAGTTTGCTTTTTGTGGCCTCGGGGAAAGGTACATTGGAGCTTCGGGGGAAAAAGGTTTGGGGCTGTTAGGCATTTTCATATCAAAGCGGAGGGTTGTCAATTGCCACAACCCCCGAGCGCAAGCCGGTGGTGCTGATGTCTAGAGAGAGAAGCCTGTGAGGAAGCAGTAAATATATATACATATTTAAAGCAGTAAATATATATATATATTTATATATATATATATAATAAATATATATTTATTTAAATATATATATATATTTAATTGCCTCCAGAACTTGGCACTTGTCTGGATGTGAAATCGGGGTGTGAGGATTGTCAGGAGTTCAGGTGTCCTGTGTTCAGTACGTTGTGTGGAACGTAGAGGAGACTTGACAGCTATTAGGACAAACACTGGGCCCTTGCTCACCCACATGGATGGCTGGGGCCTGCTGCTAGCCGGGCTTTGAATGGGTCTGGAATGCTGCTTGGGAGGGGAGATAGGAATGGGGGAAACCCCACAGGTAAGTAATTCTGATCCCCACCAACATGTCTTTCATTAGGGGTCAGTACCACATCACTGTGGTTTTCAAAAGCTCTTTCCTACACATTTAGAGATTCACTGGACACCTGCGTACATGGCCATGCATGTGTGCCCCTCCACTTTGCTCACACTGGTCATCTCTTCATGGACTCAGCAAACACGCTCAGGACAATGGAGATGCAAAGTCAACAGGACTGAGTTCATTGAATTTACCCTTTTGGGTGGAATTGTACTGCAGCCTGAAAAGTATTGGGGAGAAGGTGTGGAATGAGAGGCCATCTCACTATCGGGGTCAGACCTGGAATCCAGTCCCTTTGTATTTTACCGTTTTGTAGGGCATCCTCACTTGAACCCCAGTTTCCAAATGAAGAAATAACAGTAACAACTCCGTGTGAGGAAGGAAGATGATTGTAGGTGCTGAGTAAATAACTAACTAGTGCAGCTCAGCAGGGCACTGCATGCCAGGAGGCCATGGAAGGGATTTCTTACACAGGCTGAGAAAAAGATACTGTGTTCTTGAAAATACGGTACATGAGCTTCATCTTAAAGGATGAGGAACGAGAAGGAATTAAGCATCAATGAATCGTAAGGGACTGGGATATTTTCAGCAGAAAAGGTGGCATGTGTGAAAATAAGAATAGTTACAACAGTTGTGTCTAAGAGGTTAGAAGATTAAATGAGAGGCAAACAATCAGGGTGCAGCTTAAATACATAAGCCCTTGTATACATTCAAAAGAATTTGGGCCTTCAAACGTAAGCAAACCTGTATATAATGATTATGCTGTTACAAAATTTTCATAACAGTGTAGCAGATAAGTAAGAAGGTAGTTTTACTAGAGGAAACCAGACTGGGAATCAATGTAATAGAAATGGAAATGCAACGTAACAGAAGGAAAAAAAAATCCAAGTGATGAAGGGCAGGAATTGCACATCTTTAAAACCAGAGGTAATAGTTTGGAGAGAAATAGATTTGAGAGTAAGAAAGTAAAATCTTGAGATCTTTGTATGTGGATTGTTTCAGAGGGGTTTGTAATTGGATGTTTTTGCGAGTGAACGCAGCTCGCTTCCTACCTTGGGCAATGTAGGGGGAATCAAACCAAACTCAACGCCCTTGAGTCAGTTTGACCCTGTAACCCTGTAGGGCAGAGCAGAAGTGCCCCTGTTGGTCCGAGACTAACTCTTTACCTTCTTTACTGGAGTAGAAAGCCAAATCTTTCTTCCTAAAGGAGAATATAATTAAGAGAATTTAATTTTGCAGTGAGAATGACTAGCGTATATAAATTCTGATGGCAAAAAGCTGATGTGAGGGAAATGTTAATGGTAGAGCTGTGTTCCATTCCTCAGAAGGAAAGGATGTGGAGTCTAGAACACTGGTGAAAAGATTAGTTTTAGAAGGAAGTCTACTTGAATATTACAAGAAAAATAGGAGACAAAGATATGAGTTGGTTTTTTAGTGAAGGAACTTGACAAATGAACTTTTATTTCCTTAGTTGAGGAAATTGCCAAATGAACTTTATTTTTTTCTTATGCAAATGACAGCTCATTCCTCAAGGGAAGAAGATAAGGGTTGGAAAAATTTTTTAAGGGGAGAAATTTTGAAATAGTTGCTATGGAAACTAGAGAAAACTGACTTCTTTAGAGGGTGGCTAAGACCTCAGGGACTAAAGTTGAAGGCCATGAATTCATGGAACCCCTATTTTCTTTATCAACCGATATTCCCCCCTCCCCCCCAGAAGTAGGAGATAGCTCTAGTTCATGTCTCTCATAGAACACCTGGCCTATGTGGAATGAATGAGTGAATCGTGACCTGGAACGGTTGGGGAAGGGGAGTAAAGCTTAGCTCAAAGAGATGAAAAAAAGAGCTCAGCTTAAAGTATGCCCTGTGATCACTGAAAATTATGGTTATTAATTTAAGAGTATAAAATTATTTTAAGTATTTTGTATGAAATATATTGAAAACAGAAGACAGAGGGAAAAGACCTGAAATTCACACGTATGAATAAGAAGTCAAAGCTATTTGTGAATTGTGTATTATGATCTTAAAGAAGATGTAATTTGAAATGCTTATGACTTTATACAAATTAAGTGTTTGAAAAAGTATTAAGTAATTTCTAATTTAGTTTAAGCATCACAATTTAATCTTAACATTCAGAAACTAACATTTAAACTTTGTACTTCCCTGTATACCAACTACTATCAAAATTTAAACAGCTGTAGAATCCCTGAATTCCCAAGTGTCACTGTCATGTTTCCCCCCATGAACCCTGCTCTTCCTTATCTGTAATTTTACGACAATCTCATATCAAAAAATTTAAGTGTGTGTTGTTGTCCAATGGGGCTATAGTGTACCTTATTAAAAATGCCGAGCTTATTCTATATGATTTTTCTTGTTTTTTAATTATTTTTATTTCTCCTCTTTAATGTTTACAGTGGAGCTGGGCAAGAAGTAGGGAGATCATGTATTATTCTGGAATTCAAAGGAAGAAAAATTATGGTAATTACAATTTTTATAATTAGGTTAGCAGTTTGATTTTATGTATACTAGGTATTAAGGCTTTTCTAATAATAATAGTTAACTTTTTAGGTTCCAGAAAAATGCCATAGTCAGTGTATGTAATCTGTGCTCTGTAAAGTTAATGTGAGAAACGAATTACACACCTACATGGTAATTTGACAGAACATTAAACTGAGAAAAATATGTTCCAAGATACCACTTGCAAAAAAACCCCCAAAACCATAAAACACTGCCATTGAGTCAATTCTGATTCTTGGCAACACTGTAGGACAGGATAGAAGAGCCCCTGGGTTTCTGAGACTCTATGGGAGTAGAAAACCTGTCTCCCTTGAAGTGGCTGGTGGCTTCAAACTGTTGCCCTTGAGGTGAACAGCCCAACACTAACCACTACACCATCCCAGCTCTAATTATTCACCAGATCTGCTAAATTATTGTTTCTTCAAAGACACTCTTCCACTACAGAAAGATCTAGCCAACCTAACTGCACCACCTTTATTGGAAGAGAAAAACCTTAAGGAACTGATTAGCTGCTAACCACAAGGTCAGTAGTTCAAAACCACCAGTCACTGTGAGTCGGAATTTACTCGAAGGCAGTGAGATTGGTAAGCATCAGTGAGCACTCTGACTTTGAGCAATTCGCTTTACCTCGCTAAACCTACTTCCCTATCTGAAAGGTGAAAGAATAGATGATCTCTGAGGTTCTCATTAAGGAGGGTGTGTGGGCACAGTGGGCTAAGCACTAGGCTTCTAAGTGAAAAGTTTGGGGTTCACACCCACCAGCCACTCTGCCTCTAGCACAGATGGCCCCAGAAACATTTTGGAGCTGTTCCACTGTCCAAGATTCCAATCACGTGACATCCGATTTTAACTTTGGATGGTGCTCCTTAGAAGTTCATAGTTCAGTCACTCATGCTCCTTCAGTTCCTTTTCTTTATTTCTCCCCATCTTTACAGAGAACAGCATGTGGTGGTAATTTGGTAGTAACACCATATGAAAAAAATAAGAAATGAATGACTTCTGAATTTGGTTCTTAATCCATTAAAATACTTAAATAATTATTGCTTTCTCATGGTAGTCATATCTGCTAGGAGTAAATCTATAAGCTTGTAAAATGTTCACCATCTTCTAATATAAAAATTTTTTAAGAAGAGGTCACTCATTGTGTTTGGTAAAAGTAGCTGGAAAAAAAGATGTATTTTGTACCTTATGACCTTGTTACATAGGAACTATGCTTTAAATTTGGAAAGTTAGAATTATCAGTGCATTTTTACCAGATTTAATAAAAATTATTATAAATGCTAATGCATGAAATGTACATTTATTTTGTTATGTTCGATCAGTTGGTTACAAATCTTGTGTATTTGTTGAATGAATGTTAATTGATTGTCATTTGTTTTGCCTTGTCTTTCAGCTGGACTGCGGGATCCACCCTGGCCTGGAAGGAATGGATGCTCTGCCTTATATTGATTTAATAGACCCAGCTGAGATTGACCTCCTTTTAATTAGTCAGTAAGTTTCTTTTCCCCCATAAATAACAATATACTTTCTCCAAGACTCTTACTAAAAAGATCATTCCTTAATAGATGTCACAATCTGCCTTTTTTTTTTTTCTTACTGTATTCCTCTACTCAATCATGGCTGCCACAGGCAGGCAGGCAGGCAGAAAGCGTGAGGACATTTTCTCTTGCATCTGTGCGAAACCTTAAGAGCAAACAGTAACTGCTCCAGATCTGTCAAACAAATGCTTCACAATCTGCATTTTTTTAAAGGATTTTTTTACTAGGAAGCATCTAGGCCAACACTGCAGATTGTCATCACAATCTAAAGTATCTTACTCTGACAACCTTAATCATCTGTCTCTAGATGTGAGTTCAGCCATTTCTAGAGTTAGCATCTGATCAAGAACCAGTAGTCCTGAAGGAAGAGGCCCATGTTGAACTGAAAGCATCGATGAAAAACAAGTGTCCAGAAACTGACAGGATACCAGTTGAGATGTTTCAACAAACACATGTAGTGCTGGAGGTGCACACTCATCCGTGCCAAGAAATATGGAAAGCAGCTACCTGGTAACCAACTGAAAGCTCTGTATTTATGTTCACTCCATAGAAAGGTGACCCAATGGAATGTGGAAATTACTGAACAACATCATTAATACCACACAAATAAAATTTTGCAGAAGATAATTCAAAAACAAAGCAGTACATGGACAGAAAACTACCAGAAATTCAAAGAGGATTCTGAAGAAGACTTGAAATGAAAAATATCATGGCTGATTTCAGATAGATCCTGGCTAACAGCAGAGAAGACCAGAAAGATGTTTGCCCGTTTCATTGACTGTGCAAAAACATTTCACTGTGGATCATAGTAAGTTATGGATAATACTGCAAAGAGTGGGAAATCTGAATACATAATGATGCTCATGTTCAAAGTGTAAATAGACCATTAGACAGTCTTTGAACAGAACAGAGAGAGACTTTGTAGTTTAAAATCAGGAAATGTGTTTGTCAGAGTTACATGCTTTTACCGTACTGAATCTGTCTGCTGAGTAAACGATTTGAAGAGATGGACTATATAAAGAAGAACATCACAGCAGAATCAGCGGAAGGTGACATAATCTTGCTTGCTGAAATTTAAGAGGACATTGAAGTACTTCGTAATGAAGACAAAGACTACAGCCATCAGTATGGATTATAGCTTAACAAAAATCCTGACAACTGGGCCAATATGTAATATAAACAAAAAATATTGATGATGTCAAGGATTTTATTTTACTTGGGTCTACAGTGAACACCCATGGAAGGGCCAGTCAAGAAATCAACAACATATTTTACTGGGAAAATCAGCACCCCCAAAAAAGGTCAATTTGAGGACTAGGGTACATCTGACCTAAACCATGATATTTTCATTCACTCCAGATGCATGTAAAAGTTGCACAACAAATAAGGAAGACCAAGGAAGAATCGATGCCTTTGATTCGTGATGTTAGTAAAGAATAGCAAATGAACCATGGAGTGCCAAATAAAGGAAGAACTTTGTCTTAGAAGTACAACCAGGATGCTTCTTAGAATCGAAGTTGGTGGACTTCAATTTGGATATGTTATCAGGAGGGACCAATTTTTGGAGGACATATGTTTGGTTAATTAGGGGACCAGCAAAAAAGAGTTAAGACTATCAACAAGATGGATTGACACAGTGACTGCAACAATAAACATATTGGGAAAAAGCAACACATTAAAATGATGGTCAGGATGGTGCAGGAGCGCACTATTTCATTCTGTTGTACATGTGCTTGCTAGTAATTGGAACTGACTTGATGGCCCCTAACAAGAGCATTACGTGAGTTCAGTGAATAAGTGGATGGAAATGGTACATGCACCTCGTATAGTTGTAATACTGGAAACTAAGCTTTTCTACATATTTTCCCATCACATCACCATTTTGTCAATTCTGTAGACACTTCATCTGTAAGTAATGATGTCTTAACTTTGTCCCACTCAAAGATTTGTATCGTTTTGGCTCTAGGAGTAGTTTGGGTACATTCTTCTTCCTTCTCGAGTTATTGGCAAAGTTATTTATTGTTTAGAAAAATATTTAAGTCTTAAAGTGGATATATTTTCTTCCTCTCTGCACATACCTACTCTTGGTGTTCTGAAGGTATATAATAGGTAATGGTTTGGGGGGCTTTTTTTGTTCTGTGGGCAGTTGAAGTACATATATTATTTGATGGGTAATATTTTAAAATTTAACAGAACCTCTTTGTTTCTTTGTGGAGTTTCCACTTGGATCACTGTGGAGCTTTGCCCTGGTTCCTCCAGAAGACAAGTTTCAAAGGAAGAACATTTATGACTCATGCAACAAAAGCTATTTACAGATGGCTTCTTTCAGATTATGTCAAAGTTAGGTAAGTTGCTTTATTAAATGTACACATGCATTTGGCTTTACATGAGACATAAAATTGAAAATATAGCTCCTTTAGAGTTTTGAAATAAACACTATTTTCAAGCCTGTCAGGAAGTGGGTCGTGTGGTACCAAGTCACTGAACACCCCAGTGTACGTAACACCTCCCTGAGTTTTTGTCCTTTACATTTTTTAGAGCTGAAGTGAGTAAAGGTAAAATAGAATACTCAGTATGTAACATTTTATAATTTCAATAAAACTTAGAACCAAATATATAGTTGTAGAAACTAAGTTTTTATTTTGGACTATTTGATCAAAGGAAATTGATTGTCTTAATGAAATAGTTCTGTATTATAAACCCCATTTTATAAACGATGAGTTTGCGGCACAGGGGGATTAGGTAGACCCTGGGAGTGGGCCGCAGCGCCATGGGCCTAGCCATGCTGACAGAAGGGCACTGGCCAGGCACCCCTCAGGTGATGCGCTCCCAGAGCTGGACGCTGCGTCCACCAGACATCTCCATTGTCTGGCGCTGGCGAGGGCCGAGCCCCCTTCCTCCAGGTCCCTGAGGCTTTTGTCAGAAGCCCTTCAACCATGCTGGGCCTTGCTCTGCCTGTGTTCCTGGTGCTCCCTGGGGTTCTGTCCAGCTCCTGTCCCTGTGCCCTGCACACTTGAGCGACTCATCTCTGAAAGATAGGAGAAAGCTGCTTTCCCAGGACCTAAGTGGGACTGGTAGAGGATCTTCAGAGAGGAGTGCCGAGGTACCAGGCACCTGAGGAGCTCGCGTCTTGTGGAGGTCCCATCTGATGAGTAGCAAGCAAAATGTCGGACTGACACTCGTGGAGGAGCCTGCAGGCTGCAGGGGACATGGTGCAGCCCCTGCTCTGAGAGTGAGGTGTGTGAGAGTACTCTCCATGGAGAAGATTCCAGGGGCTCAGAACCCCACTGGTTTGCAGCTGGGAGCCCCCAGGCATTTGGACAACCCAGGAGCTCACAGGAATAGCTCTGTTGAGTTCCAGAATGTGCACACAAGTAGAGTAGCCGTGACATTGTGAACGGCCATAAGCCCAGTAGAAACACTGCAGGAAGAAGCCCTCCATAGGAACCCAGGCAGGGCAGCACTCAGGCCGGCCCTAGAGAGAGCTGGTGGGGCAAGGCTGAGCTGAGCGGCCTTGATGAGGCCCAGAGCCCTCTGAGCAGAGCAGTGGTAGGCCCTTCCCTTCCCCGCCCCCATACCAAACAGGAAATATGATCTACAAGTGCCCCGCGTGTAGGGGATTCTCCTCCCAGCACTGATCTCTATGCACTAGAAAATCCACACGGCTGAGAAGCCCCGCAAGTGTGACAAAGGTTTCTTCCACATATCAGAACGTCACATCCGCTGACAAGACCACATAGGCAAGGTCTATAAAAGCAGTGATTGCGGTAAAGATTTTAGTATGACAACCAAACTAAACTATCACAAGAAAATTCACAACACAGAGAAGCCCTATGAGTGTGGCAAAGCCTTCAACGAGCTCGCACCTGCAGATCCACATGCTGTCCACACCGGGGAGAAGCCCTACACCTGTAGTGAGTGTGGCCGCAGCTTCTTAACAGCTCCAACCTCTACATGCACCAGAGGGTGCACACCGGGGAGAAACCCTTAAGTGTTACTTATGTGGCAAGGCCTTCAGCCAGAGCCCCAGCCTCTGCATCCACTAGAGGGTGCACACCAAGGAGAGGAACCACCTCAAAATATCAGTTCTATAACAAGTTTCGCTCAGAGCAAAAGACCTGAAAATCCCTGTAAATACCCACATTGACACCCAACCCCCACCCCCAAACACTCAAAGCAACCCCTAGCAGAGTATGCTTGGTACAAAGGCATATGGAAGGTGGATTTCCTGATTCATGCCAAGTGTATGCCACCACTTAGCTCTAAGCACGAATTGCCCTCAAGGTCACACACTGCCCAGGAACCCGGTACTGTACCTTGGTTGCCAAGATAGGACATAGAAAATCACCATCACTGCCCACCTGCCACTTAGTCACCTCTCCATTCTTACTGCCACCTCTGCAGGGACTCCTCCCCATGATGCAGACATACAGGTGAATGCACCTGCTCTGGGCCCCCATGTCTTCCCTACCAGCCCATTCTTCCTGAGTCTCCCAGCACCTGCCAATACCCGCTTCCCTCCCACCCCTTCCTAGGTGGCATTCAGTTTCCCTTTAGGTTGTAGGTGACTCATCATACCCATGCACATGGCCTCTCACAGAAATCATTAGCAGACATACATCCTCTTGAACTTTGCTTGAACTTGTTTAATTTTGTGGATCTGCCCATCACTGTCAGTGTGACTGACTTTCTCCCGTCCCCACACACTGTTAGCATGAACTGTTCTGGAAATAGCTGAGTGTAACTAGCCAGCAGGAAGAAGCAAGCCAGATTAACAGGTCTACCCCAAGCTACCCTCTCAGCAGCGTGTGGGGTTCCCAGCAGTGGGGGAAGTGGGCAGTCCTTGTGAGAAGTGCTTGGTAGGAAGGATCAGCCATGACATAGTCACAGCATCTGGGATCTCAGGCAATACTGAGACCCATGCGTCCTCCACCCTCTTCCTGAAGGGGTGCATGCCGAGGCCTTTGCAAGCCTGACTGCCACTGATCATCATTCTGGTCGCTGTTCATTCAATAAGTAGTGGCTGAACACTTGCTCTGACGAGTGTGGGGCTGAGTGCTGGGGCACCATCAAGGCAGGCTGACTGGGTCTCTGCTCACCGAGCTGAGTCCTGGCAGAGGAGACAGATGATAAGCAAGTAAACAGATAAATAATATAGTTGAAATTGTAAGTGTGAAGAAGAAACTAGGG